CGGAACTGGGGATTGAACTCAGGCCCTTGTGCTTGCCAGGGAAGCACTTATTCCACTGAGCCATCTCCCTGGCCCCTCAACTGTTTATATTTTAAGGAAATGAATTCGAAATCCATTGGCTCTCTTCATTTGGAATAGTTTTAGTTTGCAAAATTCTATTTTCACGTTCTAAGTATGTGAGTGCAAGCTTTTATAGGTGACAGTATTTCAAAGTCACTTCAAATACCTGATTAAATTTTTCCCACAGTGGCAATCTCATCCCCCCTTGAAGCATTATCTTTGCTCTGCAGAGCTCTGTCTGTTCCGTTTGGGGGTGTCGCCCAGCACTGAAGAGTGCTCTCCCAGCACGTGAGGGGCCCTGGGTTCAGTGCCCCGCATGCCAGAACGGGAAGAGGGCTTTGTTCTTGAGCGCAGCACTTGGCCGTCTGTTTCCTCCTTTCTTTCCTTCCTTCCCCCCCCCCCTTTAAAGAAATGAAGTCTCACTAGGTTGCCCAGTAAGGTTGAGTCTTCAAACCCTTGTGACAGTGTGACTAGTGGGTCTCATAAGGAGCGCAGTAACTTTGGTGGGCACTTCCACTGAGCCATCTCCCTGGCCCCTGTTTTAATCTTAAAAAGAAAATATATTAGCTGGACATAGTGATACAGGCCTGTAATCTGTGCTGAGATTAACAGCATTCAAGGAGGGTAAAGTTGGAGGATCGTAAGTTCAAACCCAGCCTGGAAATTTTGCAAGACCCTTTCTCAAAATTAAATATAAAACAGGGCTGGGGATTTAAGTTATACTGGGTTTATTCTCCACTATTTAAAAACCAGAAATAAGGGACAAAGTAGTAAGCATATTGGTAACATCCTGTAGCATTTAAAGCTACAAAAGAAGGGCCAGCCAAATCAGTGGATTAAAGCACCTGCAAGCAGAGGTCAGGAGTTCGATCCCTGGGCCTGGTGTGCCGGCCTCGCCACAGGGCTGTGCTGCGATGGTGATTGAGACAGGGTGTTGTAGTGTGCACCTATAATCCCAGCTCTTGGGAGGCCATAAACAGGAAGATCACTACTAGTTGGATCTAGTAGGGATATGCTGAACACACTGTAGACCCTTCCCTAAGATACCAAAAATAAGTAAATAAATAAAGCTACAAGAGATGAGTACCCGCTGGGAGTCCTGAGGTTTTTTCACTCTAGAGTTTTCTCTAGTTTGAAAGAAATCATTTGTTTTCAGGACCTCATGAACAATTACTACCTTTGCCTGCATTTAAATCTTGACCCCCCCCCCCCCCTTGGCAGTGTCGGGGCTGGACCCTAGGCCCTTCACACTGAGCTACATCCCAGCCCTCAGAATGTCTGAGATGATCTTGCTGAGTTGCCCAGGTGGGACTCAAACTTGTGATCCTCTGCCTGTGCTGAGATTAACAGGCACATATCACTGTGCCCAGCTTTTTAGACTCTCTTAACAACAGAGGATATAAAGAATTTAGCCAGTCAGGTATTTCTATAATTCAAAACACTGCTTTCTCTTGAAATTCTCCTTAGAAATAACTCCTGCTGGGGCCAGGGAGATGGCTCAGTGGAATAAGTGCTTCCCTGGCAAGCGCAAGGGCCTGAGTTCAATCCCTGGTTCTGCCAAAAAAAAAAAAAAACAAATAACTCCTGCTAATAACTGTGTAATGCAAATATACAGATTCTCATTGATATTCTCTGTCTGTCTCTGTCTCTCTCTGTCTTTTTGTCGTTTTGAGACACGGTCTCACCACGCTGCTCACCCTGGCCTTGATTGAGCTCCCTCTGTAGCCTAGGTGGTCTCAAACTTGCGCTAATCCTTCTTCCTCAGTCTCCTGAGTGCGGGGATCACAGGCATGGGCCACCATGCTCAGCAAATTACCAGTTTGTGAGATGCCATTTTATGGTTCAGTGCTTAAAATTTTATTGGGATTTTTTAAAATAATGGAGCAAGTGACATTTATACTTCATATTTTAAATGGAGCTTATGAAACAAAAGAACTCACCTTTAATATTCTCTAGTCAAACTTGCATACTTTATGCTTGGGTTTTGTATTTTAGATGAGGATGGCAACAACCAGTGGCCTGAAGGTTTGAAGTTTCTTTTTGATTCGGTCAGCTCTCAAAACATGGGATTGCGAGAAGCCGCGCTTCACATATTCTGGTACGTACAGCCAGTGTACCTTTTTCTACATCTTACTGTTGTGAATGTCTTGAAACATTGTGCTTGATCAACTAAGCCTGAGTTAGCTTTAGGGGGTTAAAAAATATGCCTTTGCTAAGCTTTGCGCTGTTTTTTTTTTGTTTGTTTTGTTTTTTTGTTTTTGTTTTTATTTTCATCACGGTTCAAGCTCAGGACCTTGCACTTGCCCAGCAGGCGCTTGTGCTGCTGAGCCATCTCCCTAGCCCTGTACTTGTTTTGATTGAGGGAAAGCTGTTTATTTTACACACTGCTCTTTTGTTGGGTTCTGAACATTTTCTTGGTGTCCTGTCCTTTATTCAGAGATGACATAGCTTTCAGAGCACCTACTAATAACTGGCTTGAATAAGAAGAGAGTGCTAGCAAGTCCCTGTTGTGTTCCGAGTCTTCTGAGCCCATGCTTTATCATATTTTAACAACTTCTCTATACTCATAACCAATGGATTAAGTTTAGAATTAGTTCCTCCTTTTCTGCTCTTCTATGTTAACCAGTTTTCTACTGTATTTAAAATATGATTGATAGCCGTATGTGGTAGTATATGCCTCAGCACTCAGGAGGCTAAGGCAGGAGGATCACTGAGATCGAGGCCAGCCTGGGCTACAAAGGAAGTTCAAGGCTGACCTGAACTTGAACTCAGATCAGAGCAAGACCCTGTCTCAGAAAGACTTGTGTATACTTACATATGCATATGCATATATGTGTATATGAATAATACATTGGATTTGTAACTTTTCAAGTTGTAGGCTCTACATAGTTTTTATACTTCACATTATCTTCTGCTTTAGTTGTCAAACACATTCTATTTAATTATTCCCCAATAATGTAAAGTACAGTGAAACTTGGACTGGGCTCATCAAGGCTGGGAGCAGCAGGTGCGCAGCAAGCATGGTTGGCTCTTGTACCCGCCTGCACACAGGTTGGCTTCCCACAGGGACCAGTGGGAAGCACAGGCCTGAGGCCAAGCTGCCTCGGGGCCTAGACTTGTGCTGTTCATTTCCATTCATCACGCCCAGAACAAGAGTCGCGGAGAGCGTGTTTTGATGATGTCTGACCTGAGGGTTAATGTGAGCTTTAAATCAGAGAAAGCCCTTAGAGATTCTCACTCTTGCTTTACAGAGGTACAGTGAAGCTTTTATTTTATTTTATTATTTTTTAATGTATTTGGTATAAGGCCTCACTACACAGCTTGGACTCAATAGTGATCTTCCTGTTTTCAGCCTCCCCATTGCTGGGGTTACAGGTGTGTGCCACCATGCCTGAACTCGTGGCCAGCTCAGTGTGCCTGGGTACAGGGCTGATGTGGCATGTGGTGCTGGGAATCAAGCCCTAGTCAACAGTGAAGCTTTTAAAGACTGTTTTGGATTGTCTTTTAGGAACTTTCCTGGAATTTTTGGAAACCAACAGCAGCACTATTTAGATGTCATCAAAAGGATGTTAGCTCAGTGTATGCAAGATCAGGAACATCCATCGGTAAATAATTTCAGTTCTAATATAAACATCTTAAACTTGTGAAATAAATTGTTAGAAGCTCATTTTTATTTTTGCATATTAAAAAGTAAATGTTAGTTTTGTTAATAAGGAAGAATTTCACCTTGAGGAGGGAAGCGTGTCCTTGTATCCTAAGCAGCTGCTCGTGTTGACTCCCTTGACTCTTCATTGCAGATCAGGACATTATCTGCGAGAGCCACAGCCGCATTCATCCTCGCAAATGAGCATAACGTTGCCCTGTTCAAACATTTTGCAGACTTGTTACCTGGATTCTTACAGGTAAGAAAATAGTATAGAATAGATTGTAACTATGACAGAGTGCTTTTCATTGGTTTAATTTTCATGAAGAGGAGTTCTACAGTAACAGCCATTTATGTAGTACATGGTGGGAGCATGGTGAGCTGATCATGTGACTCCCGTAGGAGCTGTGTGTCTCGGGATGTCCCGCACCCCTGACCTCTGCTCAGCCATGTGAGTAGAAGTACCCCAGAAGAGGCAGCACTGCTGTTGAGGGCCCAAGTTAGGGAGGATTGAACCGAGCTAAAAACTGAAGGTTTCTGTGTGATAAAAAGGTTTTAGCAGGGATTGGTGAAAGTTTTTTCATCATGTTGTCACAGTGAAAAGTTATAATTCCAGTGACAAGAATTTCATGTATACATGGTATTGTTTAGTGGTTTATCTAAAAATTTTAAATCTAATCCCACAGATCCCCCCACCTCAGATTTTAAAGTTAAATGTTCATCAGAAAATAATGGTAGATTTTTAAATGCAGACTTAGATACCACAGTGACCACAGTGTGGGACTAATGTGTGTGTAACAAGGCTAGGACATGGTTATAGAGAAGACAGAGGAGAGGGATTCTGCATAGTTATAAGAACAGTTCCTTGATTGTCCTACGTTTTGTTGTGGTAGTTACTATATTTTTATGGGCTTAATTTTGACTTAGGCTTTAAAAGTGTGCCTATAATTGACACAGTAATTGTGCATTTATGAGGTACAGGGTGACCTTTGGGGACATGTGTACAATATGTAGTAATGACTTACCTTGCACCCTAGACATTTATGAACCAGCACATGTACCGTCCAGTGCTGCGAAGCGCTTACCCACTGCGCTTTACAGAGTGAGGCAGCTCCTCCTCCGTCCCACCCCACACTCACGCTCACTTGCAGGCGTTGGTGGCATCCTTCCATGCTGTGCTTCTGTGAGATCAGTTTTTTGTTTTAACTTCCACACATAAGTAAGAACATGGATATTTATTGTGTTTCTGTCCCCAGCTATTTCAATAACTGAGAATCTTTCAAACTGTTGTCAAAAATGAAAAAAATGATGTCCTCTTTTGTGACATAATACTCTACCTAGCATGTATGTATGCCACATTTTCTTTATTGAGTCATTAATCAGCAGATACCTAGAGTAACCTCATGTCTTGGCTGTTTGGTTAGTGCTATAACCAAGTACGCAAGTACGGATGTTTCTCATCATTACCATGAATCAAACTGAGGACCCTTGTACTTGGCAGGCACAAATGTTTCTTCAGTGTGTTAATTTTAATTCCTTTAGATGTATGCGCAGAAAGAAGAGCGTGGGTGGGATCATGGTAGCTCTGTTTCTAGGTTTGGTTTTGTTTTGTTTTTCTGGCTCAGGCTGCCTTAAGGGTGGGTCTGGTGCGGCGTGTGGAGCTGCAGATTGAACCACAGTCCCCTGCACCTGACTGAGTCCCCAAGCAGGAGCCTTAAGCAACTGAGCTAACCTGCAAGGCCCAAGTTTTTTGTTTTTTTAATTTTATTGTTTCTAGGGTTTTTTGTTTACTTAAAATGTTTCTAGTTTTTGGTCTTTTGTTTGTTTGGTTAGTTGGTTGGGTTTTTGGTCCTGGGATTCGAACTCAGAACCTTGCACATGCCAGGAAGACAACTATGCCACTGAGTGAGCTTTAACCCTGGCCCTTTGTTTCTAGTTTTTAAAAGAACCTCCACACAGTTTTTCCATGATGGCCATGCTAATTTACATTCCCACTGACAGTATCTTAAGAGCTCCTTTCTTCACAGCCGCAGCACCACTTGGTAATGTCTTTTGTGACTGTAGCTGTTCAAGTTTAGCAGTAGTCCTCTCTTGACTGCCTCTTAGGAGCGTTTTGGCTAATGAGGTATCATAAAGTGAGTCTTGAATCCAGACGTTTTTCTGTTGTTTCTAGGCTGTAAATGACTCATGCTACCAGAATGATGATTCGGTCCTAAAATCCCTCGTTGAAATCGCCGATACTGTTCCAAAGTACTTGCGTCCTCACTTGGAGGCAACTCTGCAGCTAAGTCTCAAGGTACGTTACAGTACTTGAGTAAACGTTGCTTATTAGTGCGGGCAGTACGATGAAGTATTAAATGTGTTGCCCGATTTGTCTCTGTAGTTGTGTGGAGACACCAGCCTTAACAACATGCAGCGCCAGCTTGCCCTGGAAGTGATCGTGACCCTCTCTGAGACTGCCGCAGCCATGTTAAGAAAGCATACCAACATCGTGGCGCAGACCAGTAAGTCATGGTCTTCGGGCGTTTATGCGATGTGGCAGAATCGGCCACTGAACTAACTTGTTGAGGCTTGTGCGATTGCTCAGATTGTTTGAATGTCTTCAAATCAGATGAAGCGGGTCTGCATCTCCATACCTGTGTATGTGGACCCAGTATTCTACTTTTAAAACTTTACAGATTGTTGCAACCGCAACCCTTTGTTAAAAGTAGAATTTCGGGCTGGTGAGATGGCTCAGTGGTCTAAAGCACCTACTTGGAACAAGCTTGGCAAAGCCCAGGGACCTCAGTTCAATCCCCCAGCACCACATGCCAGCCCGCCTGCCCCCTGGTGGGCTGAGCTGGCCACACACACACACACAAATAAAGAAAGAAAGAAAGAAAGAAAGACCCATTTCATGTATTATATAAAAATAAAAATAAAAGTAGAATTTCTGTTAGGTCATAACATAGTTAATAGAGTCAAAAGTAATTCAGGAATGTATAGATATCCAGTTGCAAACTGAAAACGAGGTTATATAATTACATTACTGATGAACATAGGATTAGAACACAGGTCTTCACTCTTATTATGTTGCTTTATTTTACATTCTGCAGGAGAAACTTATGTAACTATTTACACTTTATGTTAGTGCTATATAAATACTATGAAAGTTTCATTGTGCTTAGGATAAGAACTTAGGAATAGCCTAGTTATTTTCTGACCTCGTCATTTCTTCACATGCCAACAGGTATTTGAACACTAGGCTTAGAAACTAATTACATTGCTAGATTTATTTTGTAGTGGCTTCTTTTTTTCAGTCTTACCCTGTGGTATTGATAGAATTTTAGGAACTTTCCTGTTTGACAGGAAGAAGGAAAGTATCCTCACTATTATTGTTTCTGTTGTACTAACAATTCTAGATAGTACATTGAGATTAAAAAATAAGAATTATTAGGAATAAAGATACTGCATAATTTGTTGGTTATGCAATATTCTACAAAAGAGGTAAATTGTTAGACCCTTGCATTTAGCAAGGTTGCTATATAGCATGAGAACATTAAAAAATAGCAGTTCTTATATATCAAAAACAAAAAAGTTCAGGATGGAGAACCTAACTTGGGCCAGGAATATAGCTTAGTGGGATAAGTGCCCACCTGGCAGATACAGGGTCCTGAGTTCAATCCCAACTACCAAAAAAAGGAAAAGAAAAAAGAAAGGAACCTGTGGACACCGAGACCCTGCTATTACTACTTTGCTTCATTTTCTTAAAAGCAAAGTAAAATATTACTTAAAATTCTTGTGAAAATAAAATAAAATTCTTGGGTATAAAAAAAAATGATGCTGACAAGATTACATGAAGTCCCAGTCTCTATGAAATAATTCCTTGCTTTAGTTCCTCAGATGTTAGCGATGATGGTTGATCTGGAAGAGGACGAGGACTGGGCCAATGCGGATGAACTAGAAGATGATGATTTTGATAGGTAATTGTGTGTGGGAATGTGGGCGGGGCCGGCCTGGGAGGGCGGGGCCAGGAGGGTCAGGACCATGTCACCCAGCTCTGCTCTGGGTAACTTGTACCCCAAAGTTAAATTTTTTATTTATAAGTATTATCTTATTTTCCATATATAATTTATATTTTTAAAATTTATGTATGTTCCATCAAGGTTCTTAAAGTGTACTTTATTAGGAGAATACATAAAACCATTTTATAATCAGAAAAGATACCAATGACAAACTTGAAATACACCAAGTAAAGTTTCTGTCTTTACTCTTGTATTCCAAATTTTCTTCAAAATCAGGAATTTCTTTTAAAATACACATGAACAAGCTTTATTATGATACTTTTATATGCATAAACCTCACTTAAAAAGTTGCTTGAGGGCTGGCAAGATATCCCAGTGGTCTAAAGCGCTTGCTTAGACAAGCACGCAGGGACCGCAGTTCAGTCCCCGGCACCACATGCCACGCCAGCCCCACCCCCAGGGTGGGCTGAGCCAGCCACTAAATAAATAAATTAATAAATAAATTTGCTTAAGCAGAATTTCCTACAAAACACTGCTTTTTCAGTATAATGTAGTTTAGCTTCAGGATTCAGGGAGTGTAGTGGTGAGAGCTGTCCACTGCGTAATAGCGACACTGGGATTACTGCTGTACTGACTCTTCAGTCGGCCCTGTGCGTGCTGATCCATGGACAGAAGGCACTGGGTCTGGGCTCGCAGGGGTAGTGGTGGCTCCTTACATGGACGTGAAACGTAGCGCTTGATGCCGTGCTTATTTGAGTTGTCCTGAGGTATATTACTTTCAGATACAAAAATGGGCAGGTCAGATTGAGTGATTTGTTTGAGGTTGTATAGCTAGCTAGTGAGCTTAGGTTAAGGACTTAAACCATTTTTCTCATTAACATTTATAGAATACAGGGCCGTGGAGATGGCTCGGTGGAATAAGTGCTTCCCTGGCAAGTGTAAGGGTCTGAGTTCAATCTCCCGTTCCGAAAAAAACAAAACAAAAAACATTTATAGAATACATGCTACATTTTTGCAGCTTCCTCTCATTATTAAGCATGACTGGTTACAGCCCCAGCACCACCGAAGTATATTGAAGTAGGCTTTACTGGGCTGGAGAGAACACGGGTTAGATCAGGTTTCCTTCCTCTGATTCAATTACTGCAACATGCTGCTGCCTGTCCTTTAACTTACCTTGTAAACAGCTCTTTATAAGTAGATGGTTTAAGAAACTTACTTTTCTGGGCTGGATTAAGATTTTCTTACTAGGAAGTTACTTTAATTGATTTTTTCTTTTAAATAACTTTCCAAGGTCAGAATTTTAGGTCCAAAAACCTGTTCTAAAGATCATATATAGTTTCATTCCTCACAGTTTTGCCTTTGTGGGCCAGTTGAGTATTCTATACAACACTGAGCCAGAGTGACTGCAGGTCCTTCTGCGCCCCAGTCTCCATGAAGCCTGTTCGTAGTGGTTGGCAGTGTCCTTTTGTACCTCTTTAACGATGAATACACTGTGGGGAGAGGGAAAGTCCTCTTCATTCTGAGCACCCCTTTCAGTTTTCTGGCTCTGTCCGCTGATGAGTTTCAGGGATGTGTTTCTAGAAAGTGAGATGCAGTTTTCCACCTGCCTTTTACCTTTGAGTTTTGAAAAGTAAAATTTGGATTCAAGACTTTTTAAACTATGGTACAACATGGTAAAAGTTTTCATTTAGTCTTTATTTTCAGCTGTCGCGTTCTTAATAGCACTTGCAGAAGTCTGCTTGAATATGTTCTCGTCCTAGTTTAGTAACACACTTAGCACGCACATTTCTCAGTGGGTCGTCTGTGTCCGTTGTGTTTAGCAATGCCGTGGCTGGGGAGAGCGCTCTAGACCGCATGGCCTGTGGACTCGGCGGGAAGCTCGTCCTGCCAATGATCAAGGAGCACATCATGCAGATGCTTCAAAACCGTAAGCTGCCTGCGCCTCCGTGCTGCAGGGGTGGGCTGGGACTTTCCAACCCTTAAAGCTCAGTACTGTGCTTTCATCTTTGCCTTTTATAGAATGCATAACCTAATTCTTACTTTCTACTGATGAGACTTTATTTAGTCATTTTTAGAACCATGTCTTATGCTAAAGAATGGTTTTCCTCACTGCGAAGAGCGTTAGCTTTCCCTCCACAAAGTTAGTCTATAGGAAAAAATCATCAATTGTAAAGAAAATTCTATGGATTTACTCACTAGCCAGAAATATGTAGTT